AAAATAATTTTAAAATATGTTTTAACACCTCATAACATGTGTAAATGTTATATTTTTTAAAAATACAATTTGAAAAATATCATAAATTAATTAGTATAGTATCATTTTTGTTTATAATAATTAAAGAAAAAATAAATAATTCAAATATATGAACCAATGATTTCAAAATGAAATTAATATACAGTTACAAATAAATATAGCATGATTATATTTAATTTAATTAGTTTTAATTTTCTTAATGAAATGGCTTTTCTTTATCCATAGTGTTTCGATTGGTGGAGAATCTATAATCTATAATCTATAATATAATTAAAAACAAAATTCTATTTACTTGATTTCCCGCTCAAACAATAGTAAATAGTAAAGGTAAATTAAAAAATAAACAGAAATATTTCACAATAATTCTCTACATCATCATCAATTAAAAATGGAACAAAAATTAGGTAAATTGACAAATAAATGAATATTAATAATTGACTGAAAATTAAAAATGAAAAAAGAAACAGAAATTAGGTTAATTGGAAAAGGAAATGAATATTAATAATTGACTGAAAATAAAAAATGATCCATAATTGACTAAAATTGAAAAGAAAATTGTCAGATTATTGCATTTTAATTTTTCACAATAATATTACATAGTAGAATAAATCAAATCACAATTATATCATAAATCTTTCACAATTTTAAGCAATGGAATAGAAATTAAAAATGGAACGGAAATATTCAATAATAATATTCTACATCATCAAGTAAAAGTAAATAAAAAATGAAAAGGAAATATTTCAATAATAATATTCTACACCATCAATAGTAAAGACATATTTTAAACAACAGTAAAGGTAAACTAAAAATGGAACGGAAATATTTCAATAAAAATATTCTACATCATCAATTAAAAATGGTTTGGATAGGTAAAAATATCACTGCATCTGATATTCTAATTGACTAATTGACTGAGAATAAAAAAGAATAATTGTCTAAAAATGAATCTGATATTACTAATTGACTGAAATTATAAAAGGAAATTAATATTAATAATTGACTACAAATAAAAAATGATCCATAATTGAAATGAAAAAATAAATTGACAGTTCATTGCATTTTAATTAAAAAATGGAACAGAAATTAAAAATTGGACGGAAATATTTCAATAATAATATTCTACATCATCAATAGTAAATGCATATTTTAAACAATAGTAAAAGTAAATTAAAAATACAAAGAAAATATTTCATTAAAAATATTCTACATCATCAATTAAAACTGGAACAGAAATTAGGTAAAAATATCAATGCATCTAATATTCTAATTGACTAATTGACTAAAAATAAAAAAAGAATAATTGGCTAAAATGAATTTGATATTACTAATTGACTGAAAATATAAAAGGATTACTAATTGACTGAAATTCTACCATTATATATTTTTACCCGAGTCACCCATCCTTTTGGACTAAAGGTGTTAGCTCTAGACGAAGATAGACAAGATTGTGTTGTAACTACCAATGTTGTCTACAAAGAGGTTTCAATAGTATGTAAATACAATTTGTGATATTATGTTTTTTTAAATGGCAAAATTGCTATATATCTAGACAAAAAAAAAAAAATTATATTTTCCATACAAATAAATTAGGATATCAATTCATTTTTATAACTGAGTTGCTAGAGAACGAGCACATTTGACTAATTTATAAAAGTACTGAACAATGATAAATAAAATCTCCAAAGTTACAGCACCGCATGCGTACATCTACATATTAGCTACTAATTTGAGCAATTAATAGCATAAAAACACATAAATGATCCAAACCATACTTTCAATTGCACTATATAATATTTGATGTTCTAATTTAAATAATTATATATCGATCCAAATATTCTTAATATATTACAACAAATCCATTCCGTGCATCGCACGGGCGCAAATACTAGTTACTTACTAAATAAGTTTTACTACAAAAGTTTTGGCGGGAAAATTTGTTAGGAGGATTTTACTTTTATATATATATTACTTACCAAATAAGTTTTACTACAAAAGTTTTGGCGGGAAAATTTGTTAGGAGGATTTTACTTTTATATATATACTAGTTTTTCTACGCGCTTTGCGCGAATAGGATAATGCCCAATACTTATTTTTAAATAAGTATTTCAAAGTATATCAATGCAATATTATATAGAAGATGTTCATGCACAGGTAAATAAATGTTAAATTTGTTTATTTAAATCGGTAATTTAAAGTATATAAATGCAAGATAATATATGAGAGATTGATTATATATAACTGTCACAAAAATAAATGTTTGCAATTTTGTAATAACGCTAATCTAAGAATCTAAGTACTAAGTCTAAAAGCGATAGTCTAAATAAATACTATTTTTTGGTTTAAATTTTTCTAATTCTCTTTTAGGTAGCATTGTTATTGTTTTCATCTTCAGTACATGTTTTTTTTTTTTTTTTTTTTTTTTTATTGGTAGTGTGTCATGTGCAATTGGGTTATTGGTAGTATCATAAAGAGATTCATCATGCAATGAGATTATGGTGTATGAAGTTTTAGATTTATCTTGTTGTGTATATGACTGAGATCTTAGTTGTGCTATGAACTCTTTATCTTACAAGCACATGTTGATATTTGGTAGCGGTAGTTTTTCCCTACAAGTTTCATGTGTTGTGAGACATCTAATTCTAAATTAATTAAATGCATATGTCTTTTTTTTTTTGTAACTACTAATTTATTTTTTAATTTAAGTAATAAGAGCAATAAAATGGGGAAATTATGATGTGGAACCGTGTCCACCTTGCAAGGTGGATAAAGGTGGACACGGTTCCAAAACTGTTCATAATTATGAATATATAGTTCAAAAATTATGAACATATAGTTCTATAATTATGAACATAGAGTTGTGAACATAATTATGAACATATAGTTTTGTAATTATGAATATAGAGATTCAATAATTGTGAATATGAAGTTAAAAAATTATGAATATATAGCTTTATAATTATGAACATATAGTTCAGTATTTATGAATATAGAGTTCTGTAATTGTGAATATAGAGTTCAATAATTATGAATATGAAGTTCAAAAATTATGAATATATAGCTTTATAATTATGAACATATAGTTCAGTAATTATGAACATAGAATTGTGTCCACATTGCAAGGTGGACACAATTCCACATCATAACGATTGAATAAAGTGGCGTACATACTTTTCATCCATAATAATGAAATCATTGATTTTTTTTTTAATTTTCATTCATTGTTGAGACAAATTGTTTTGAGAGTTTGTCAATGACAATTATTGCTGTCAATAGATGATGATAATAAATAATTCAAAATATAAGGTTACAATAGATATTATTATAATAATATAGTAAAAGTTAACTTACAAATTTCTTTAGAAGTTTTCATTCATTGATAAAAGCATAATTGAAATATTAAGTTTGTTCTCAATAATCAAAAGAAGATTAATTAAACGAAAAAAAAAAAAAAAACTGAACTCAAATTAAAATTTTTTTTTAATGAAAGAAAACCAAATGATTATCAAAGTTCCGGATTTATAATCATTGAATGCTATGTATTTAGTCGGGCTAATTATTTGACCAAAGTTTATGTTAAATTTTATATTTTATTTTTTAATACATATTAAAATATTCATAGTATATGTTTAACAATTATGCTAACTCTAATTGGAATGCGGTTCGAACCTAAGACCTTTCTTATAGAAATTAATGAGTAAGTTAAGAATAATAAATAGTTAACGGAATATTCCGTTAATAAAGTTTATACTAACGGAATTTAAGGTTATTTAAAGAAAGAAAATAATATAATAAAGGGCAAATAAGGAAAATCATTAAAAATACTAAAATCAAAATACTATGAACCATTCATTTTAAGAAACTAAGTAGTACCGACATTTTTTTTAGTCCAGTTAAGGGCCTAACATTATTGGCTCTTATTAGAATTGTAGATTGTAGATATATATATATATATATATATATATATATATATATATATAAAGTAAAATCCTCCTAGCAAGTTTTCCCCCCTCCCCCTTCAAAACTTAGGGACATTTTTGTAATCCCCCCTCCCCCTTCAAAACTTAGGGAGGGGAGAAAACTTGCTAGGAGGATTTTACTTTATATATATATATATATATATATATATATATATATATATATATATAATCTAAAAACTTAATAAGTCTCAATCAAGGTTATACCCTTGATTTATGTCTATCTTTTTGTATGCTAATAAAGGTATACATTTTGCTTTAAATGTTGTACACTTCAATGTTATTAGACAAAGTTGTCCCTATTACATTATTGTTAGACAAAAATGCCCTTACACCGTTATAACTCCGTTACTTTTAAATTCTAACATTGATGACTCCATCTTATTACCATATATACACCTATATATATATTATTATATCCATATCATATTCTTTAATTATCATTTTATTATATTATATAATTAATAATAATAATTAATTTAATTGTTGATTAGTGGTCAAAAAAATTAATTATTAGTTATATTTTAATTAAATTTTTATGATTGGTAAATAATATATCTATGTGTATAAAATATATATATTATTTGTGTATATATAATTCAAATTATTATTTTTAATTATTTTTATTTGTCAATATTTTAATATTGGGCATGAATTTTCGCGCATCGCGCGTACAAAATGCTAGTGTATATATATATATATATATATATATATATATATATATATATATATATAGATTATTAGGTATTATCGCTTAAAAAAACTAGTTTCTTAAATAAGCTTTAAAAAAATATTCCGTATTTCCGTATAAGATAAAGATAATTGTGGAATGTTTTTATGGAAGGAAAATTAGTAACGTTTTTTTAGCTCACCAAGAAAGGAAAATATTATTCAAAAAAAAATATTACACTACCAAAAATGCTAATCACAGTGTTATATATACGGATATGCTAAGAGGAAGAAACAATACAGAATTTCATAAAAATGGAGTATACTTTTAACTCCAAACCCATCTCCATTGCTTTTTTCTCTCTATTGTTCATTGCTAGTTTTGGTGAGGCCAACCAAACTTACCATGCCAACAATGAATCAAGGAAATTGAACAGGATTAGAGCTTATCTCAACAAGATCAATAAGCCTGCTGTCAAGTCAATCCAGGCATTTTTTATCAATCATTTTCTTTACCTTTTTTTTTTTTTTTTTTTTTTTTTTTTTTTTTTTTTGTATTAATTTTATCAAATTGTGTACCATTTTGATGTGGCATCATCTAATTTTAGGTGTTATCTTTAAACGTGTATCATACTCAGACTAATCATTCTTCCAAATGCTGAACCCCAACCCTAAGGGCCCCCACACCCCGACACTCAGACTAATCATGGTTCGCATCATGTTAGCCTAATTAATGGGTCAAACTGGTGCTAGCCAGTTTGGGGGTTTTAAACTCTCCACTTGATGAGAGTGCACAACCCACTACTCATGCTAATCAAGTCGGTTTCATGTAATCAATATATTGTGAATTGAATCAATTCAAATAATCAAATATTATGACACTTGTCTTAAACAATATAAACAATATGGGGTAGTGCAAAATTTGATATAAAATAATAATTTTTTGTTTGCAAAATGTTGAATCTCCAATCCCAAAGGCTTCCACGTCCTGACTTGACAGAGCACTGGGGAGATGGATTGTGACTGACTTTTTAATATCTATCTTTGACTGACTTTTTTTTTTATTGTTTTCTTTTGGTGATATAGGATCCGTATGGTGATATTATAGATTGTGTTTTGTTTCATCAACAACCGGCCTTTGATCATCCATTGCTAAAGGGGCAAAAATCATTGGTGAATACGACATCCATTATGCTTTCACAAACATATATTTTTTGTCATTTCCAAACTTTAGGGTTATAATTTATTTTAGAGATAATAATAACCATTTATTTCTTATTTCTTTTCTATATAAAATTGTAGCATCAAGTACCTAAAGCCCACAATAACTCAAACAATGAGCTCAAAAGCTTCCAGGCGTGGAGAAAGTCTGGAGAAACATGTCCAGAAGGAACGGTTGCCATCAGAAGGACAACTGAACAAGACATTCTAAGAGCTGGTTCTGTTCGCAAATTCCGACAAAAAGTCATACGATATCAAACGGTGTGCCTCGAGATCTCTTTTTTGTCTAGTCTAGATTTATAAGTGGCAGTATACTTTTAGTAGTTTTTTTTTTTTTTTTTCAAAATATCCTTTTTTTTTTTTTTAAGGATCATCATGCTATAATAATACTTGGACTAAAATGATGTTTTGAAAAAAAATGAATTGTCACTTATAAATTCAGTACCGAAAAGTGAATTAACTCTACTTTTCATTTCCCACAATCAGTGAGGGTAGTGGAATATGGATTTTTCTATGATATGTTTATTATTTTATTGATTTGATTTTATGATTATATTTGAATTTGGAGGCTGGGGATGACGTGGAATGGGCATTGGCATATGTAGCAGGAGGAAAATATAAGGGAGCGGCGGCGAATCTGAATCTTTGGGCACCTGTTCTAAGCGACAATCAAGAATTCAGCTTAGCACAAATCTATGTTGGTGCTGGAACAAATGACCAGGATGTCAACACCCTTCAGGCTGGTTGGATAGTATGTTCTTCATATAATCTTTCAACCAATTAACATAATTAATATATGAGCAAACTATGTGGTTCATAAAGTTGTACCATCCTCCCCCTTCGTTCTGTGGGACTATCTCAAGTGGTAAATCACCTGACTTAAAGTCACTATTCTAGTTGCATTAGGGGAACGATTTCCACAGTTCCACCAACAACATCTTGACTCTAGGGGCCTAGGGCTCTCCAAGCTAGAGTTTGGACCCTTAGGCTCTCTAAATTGGAGGTAGTTGATAGAAGTGTATGTGGAGATAGATCTCTTGTGTACAAAATCAATGACAAGAACTGACGAGGGAGGTGCTTGGGTAATTCTCGATTTATCTCCTCCAGTAACTCTTTAACAAATTAAAAGTTCTGGGGAGCTAATGATTATTGATTAGTCTAGCGCAAGCTGGTATAGATCAGCAAGCAAAGGTGATATAATAGGCTTTACAAAGATATGATAATATACCATATGCTTGACCAAAGATGAGAGAATACAATTTGTAAAGTAAAATGTATAATTTTATAAAGTATACGATTTTAGCTCACTACATTTTATATATAACCAAAAAAAAAAAAGGGTTAAGGATATTTTGATTATAATTGAAGTTAATTCCTCAAACCTTGCAGGTAGCACCAACTTTGTATAGGGACAGTAAGCCAAGACTCTTCAGCTATTGGACTGTAAGTGATTTCATTTTATTTATTTATTTATTTTTACTTTTCAACATTTTTACTATCTAAATATTTCTAAATTTTTATTTACTTGCAAATGGGTAATTTATTTATGGAGTGCAGGCGGATTCATCCAGATCAACTGGTTGCTTCAATGTACTTTGCCCAGGCTATATTCACACCAGTCCTGACATTGCCGTTGGGATAATACTAGATCCACCATCCACATATAATGGGGAGCAACGTGATGGTTACTTTGAAATTTTGCAGGTAAACATACTACAAATAAATATTTATCTCCATTTTTTATTAAAATTTTACTTCCTCTTTTGAATGAGAATTAAAGTATTTGCAAATGCGCCATTATTTATATTTGTACATTTTCATTACCTTTCAATGTCCTACATTTCCCAATATCTCGTGTCTCTATTCTCATTTCATTGTTTCCAAAATGTTGAATCTCCAATCCTAGGGGCGTGACCTCACAAATTTCAATACTATCTAATCACAACACAAAACAATTAATATCCGCACGGGTAGCTTAATTGGTTCTTGGGTGACAAATTGTGAGTAATGATGCAAGATCGCACCCGGGTAGGAGTTAGACTTTATGTGATCCTCTCATTGTGACACTAGACATTGGTCCTTCTACAAATTCTGTGGTGCCCCTAAAGTGAAGAATTTCATTTTTTTTTTTTTATGGATAGACACAAGACAATTAATTGGGGCATTATTGGTCCTCCCTTATTTATCACATTCACAAATCCTTTATGGTCCAGGGTAAATGATTTCACCTTTTATGGACAAACACAAGACAATTAATTGTGGCATTATTAGTCTTTCCTGATTTTTCACTTCCACAAATCATGTGAAACCCATGGCGAAGGATTTCACTTTTTGTGGGCAGACAGAAGAGTTAATTGTGGCATTATTTGTCCTCCCTAATTGACCACCTCCACAAATCTTGTGGGGTATTCTTCCCAAAAAGGAAATCATAGTAACTTAGCTGAGCCTCCTGACTTTGAGAGGTTGCTCCCACACTGCCGCTGTTGAGACTTGATCATTGATTATTCTTGCCAAACTTCACCCCTATAACCAACCGAGCTGCCCATTTCACCATTTTATGTAAAGACACAAGACAATTAATTGACACTAATCACTACAATTAAATTTTGCAGGACATGTATAATGAAAGGTGGGTGTTGAAATTACTATCAACAGACAATGAGATTGGGTATTGGCCAATGGGCTTGTTTACACATCTCAGAAAGGCTCCAGCAACGAGGTTACAGTATGGTGGTGCTGTTAGGAACAAGAAGACCAATGGAGTTCACACCGGAACTCAAATGGGGAGTGGGCATTTCGCAGAAGAGGGTTACACAAAGGCAGCTTTCATTAACAGAATAAAATTGGCTGATGAGAGTAATGATGGCATCCCCTATAGCGCTGGAGTTCTTCAAACCAATGCTAGATCTCCCAATTGCTATAATGTCCACTTTAATAGCAATGACGAGTGGGGCAGTCATATATTCTATGGAGGGCCAGGGAAAAATGACAATTGCCCCTAAAGCTAGGGATCCAAAAGGGGAAAGAAAATTTGCAATTTGTATTTAACTCACTAAGTACCCTATAATAAGATCTTACATTTATATAAATAAAATTTGATTGTTAAAGTTTAAGTGTTGAAATTTGTCATGCAAGTTTGATTATATGATTATGTTCAAAATTGAATTAATACTCAGCTCTTCGCATCTATTTAAGGAGGACCCCAATCTTAGAACAAAGTATTGATTTTACAAGCTCCTCAAAGTTTTCAAACGATATTCTGTGTGATAAGTTAAAAGAATCATCTAGATTCTAATAGTAGTCCAACCCCAAAACAAAATCATCTTTTTTTCTTTGAAAGATGTTGAATGATCATTTAAGCAAAGCGACTTTAATTTGTGGCTAATCCGTGGCGAAAATTGATCAAATAACAATAAAGATGAGGTTAGTGAGTAGCACAAGACTTACATTATATTCAAGGATTGTCACAGGAGGAAGCAAGTAGCACTTGTGTTGCGTAAGGCTTCATTCCCTTGTATTTGGTTATAAATACATAGTGAAACGCTCATTGGGTTAACGAGAAAGGTTGAGTAGAGAATTCTTCAAACCACTATAAATGCCTCTCTCTTTAAAGTCTTAATTATGTGTCAAACACTCAAACTATCCATACTACATACACTACACTTATTCAAATCAAACAAAGCTACAAAACAAATTTTAGCAAGTCAAAGATTTCTGCTGGGAAATCTTACATTTCTTTAAAAAGTTTAAAATTGTTAAAAGTCTATTAAACTCCCCTTCTAGCTTCATCAAGTGCACGCTAGTAAAAAAAAAAAAAAAAAAAAAAAAAAAAAAAAAAAACTCTCATATATCATTAGTAAGTAGTTTCTGGAGTTACTTTATTACCATTTAGGCATTTAATATGCAATTCCAAATGAAAAGACAAATAGGCAACACACTAGTGTCTAGTCCATCACTTGTTTCCACTTCTCGCATTCCTACTTTATTTATAAGATTGAAATTTAAAACAAAATATAAATCATTCTAAACGTGGTTAACAATTTAATAGTTGTAGGACCATGAGTGCTTAACTTGGACCAAGGGCGGTAACAATAATTTGAAAGTCGAGAATCACAAGTGATTAATTTGAAAGTTTAGGACTAAACTTGACAAACCACTATACTTGAGGACCCATATGGGGAGAAGGAGGCATAGGAAAAACTACATTAGCCAAAAGAGTCTATAGACATCCAATTATTATTGCTAGCTTTCACATTCGAGTGTGGGTAGTTTTGTCTCAGGTTCCTAACCTCAAAGAGATTCTCATTGGTCTATTACGTTGTATTTCACCAGTAACAAGTGAAATCTACAACGTAGACGATGCTCAAATAGCTGAGCAATTATGCACAAGTTTGATGGGCAAGAAGTATTTAATTTTCTTGGATGATTTATGGACCACTGCTGCATGGGATGCCATCAAAGGATATTTTTCAGAGAATTTTAATGGAAACCGAATCTTAGTAACTACTCGGTTCACAAAGGTGGCTAAATAAGTGCAGATCCCTACCATATGAAGTATCTATTTAACTTTAGAGAATATATGGGAATTATTTTCAAGGAAAGTGTTTCGCCAAAGCCAATGGGTACCATCCGTGGAATACGAAGAGGTGTGGAGAGAACTTTGGGCGATTGGGAAAAGGATTGTTTATGGTTGTAGTGGATTACCACTGGAAGTTGTTGTGATTGCTGGATTTTTAGCGACAATAGAAAAGTCAATACAAATATGGAGAGATGTTGAGGAAACTTGGATAGAGTTGATAGATATGATAATGACAAAAGAATTTCACAAATATTTTCATTGAGCTACAACTACTTACCTCACTTCAAACCTTGCTTTCATTATTTTGGTGTGTTTCCCGAAGACAATGTCATTCTCATTAAGAGATTAATCAACTTATGGGTTGTAGAGGGATTTTTAATGCCACATAAAAGTATGAGTTTGGAAGAAGCAATGGCAAAGAGTTATTTGCATGATCTCATTAAAAGAGGTTTAGTTCAAATTAATGAGCTAAGTATTGATGGCAAAATTAAATCATGTAAGGTTCATGATCGAGTGCACGAGGTCTGTGTGAGAAAAGCAATAAAGGGTAATGCTTTGTGCATTATCAATGACAACCATGCTCCAAAAGACGGATTCGCTGTTTTCAGCGTTTTGACCGTGTGAAAGCGCTGAAAACTTTGTTTGGTAAATGGCGATTTGGAGCAGCGGATTTGCTTCAAACCGTTAAAATTTGAAACGCTGCAATTTACAACATTTCAGGTTGGCATTTTTGGCTCTTGCCCAAAATGCCCTTAATTCTTAAAAAAAAAAAAGAATAAGATCAAAATTGGCCACTAAACGTAACTTGAAAGTGCAATTAGGCCTGAATGAAAAAAGAGTGCAATTAGGCCACTAAACACTCCAAATGTATGCAATTTCACCTGATAGCAGATTACCATCCATTTCATCAGGTTGTCTGCTTACGTGGATGGTGAGTTGACATTTTAAAATAATTTTTAATAATTAACTTAAAAAAATTAAAAATAAATAAATAAAAACACTGGGATGAAATGGATAATTTTAATAATTAACTTTAAAAATAAAAAATAAAAAATAAAAATAAAAAATGCTGGGGTGAAATGAATAATTTTTAATAATTAAATCTAAAAATAAAAATATAAAACGCTAGCATGAAATGGATAATTTTTAATAATTAAGTTTAAAAGTAAAAAATAAAAAAATAAAAAAAAACGCTGGGATGAAATGGATAATTTCTAATAATTAACTTTAAAAATAAAAAACGCTTTAGTGAAATGGATAATTTTTAATAATTAATTTTATTATATTTTATTTTATTTTTATTATATTTTCTATTTTATTTTTAAAAATTATTATTAAAAATTATTTAAATGTACTAACTCACCTGTGTTCAGTGACCTAATTACACCCTTTTTTCGTTTAGTGACACTCTTTTTTCGTTCAGTGACCTAATTGCACTTTCAGGTTACGTTCAATGACCAATTTAAACCTTATTTCAAAAAAAAAAAATTGTTTGATTAACAGAAGCCTCAGACTTCTAAATAAAGAAGCATGGGCTTCTTTTTTCCTACCCATCCGATGTGAGAATCGGATGGGCTGGAGTGAATAAGGGGGCGTTTAGCTCTTCTTTTAATGGGGAGCTCAACGCCAATCATTATTGTGTGGACCATGGTTCATACAACTTGTATGGACCATATTTTGTATATTATAAAATAATGTACATTCAATACAAAAATAATATACATTCAGCACAAAAATAATGTACATTGTATTCAGATGATATACATTATTTTTGTACTGAGTGTACATTATATTGTATAATGTACATTCAGTACAAAAATAATGTACATTTAGTATATTAAAAATGTACTTTTTGTTATGATCCATATAACACTGTGTGGACCATAATTTGTCCTCTTTTAGTTTAAATTTTAATGTGTTTATTCTTTTTTTTTAAAAAAAAATTATTATTATTATTATTATTAAGTACAAGTCTCAAATAGGTCATTACCTACACGTTATCACTCCACACTGTTGACATGTAATTTTATTTAAATAAAAATGGTGATGATGTGAAATTTACTTCCTAATCTCCAGCGGAACGGTCTATCCTGCTGCTATAGTGCTATGGCGAAGAGGGAGACAGGCACTGGAGAGGAGCTAGCTCTGCCGCTGATAAGCTTTGCCGGAGACGCTGCACTGCACCACCGGGAGAAACAGAAAGGCTCCAAATATGATTTCTAGAATTCAAAAGTACTTTAATACCATCTGGTGATGTACATAACATATCTTCATTGTGATGCTTTATGATGTAATAACAACCAATTTTCATGGCCTCCACTTTAGGTGAAGGTAACTAGGTTAGAAGTTATGAGTTTGTAAAAATTAAAATAACCTGTTTAAATGCAAAATAACTTAATATTTCTCAGCTAGACCTATTAAGTAGACAGTGCATACAAGATCAGAAACTGGTAGTGGTGGACTCAAGAAATTTTTTTCAGTGGGGGCAAAATATTAAAGCAAAATTGATAATTAGAAAAAAAAAATGAAACACTTAAAAAGTATAGCCATAAATAATGTTGGATATAAGAAAATTATAAAACACATCAAAACATTATAAAAATATTCATAACAAAATATGAACAAAATCAATTTGATAAAATAATTTGAATAAAAGATCCATTATAAATTACACATCTCATCTCATTATTAATATATAAATAATGAAGATTATATTATTGTGTTGAAGCAATATGCACTATTAATAATAGTGAAAATGTGAAATAATGAGAAAAGGTAGTGTTAATAGGAAAAGAGAATATTGAACAACCATATGCTCAGCCATCTATGCTAATTCACATTTTGTAAACATTTCTCTATTTTCTAATACTTATACTAAAACTTGTACTATATATACACATATACATACAAGAGTTATATAAGGGGTGGGGGTGGGGTGAGTGGGGGCAGCTGACCCCACTGCCCCCACTGTAGGTTCGCCTCTGGAAACTGGATGATCTATGGATATTTTGTCTGCCACATTATAGGAAAGGTGAAGAGACATATTAATCTCTCTAATGAATGGGCCACTAGTGAATGCGTCAACACGTAAAAGGTTCATTTTGGAGTAAATTGATATGATCCATCTTTTCAGGTATGCCTTCCATAATGAGAGTGAATTTCTTTACTTGAAATGTAGAAACTTGCAGAAGTTTACTATAAGACATTATTATTCCTTTCATCCATTGTGGAAGCTTGGTATTAAACTAAAAGAGGGCGTTGAGCTTCCATTGTGGAAGCTTGGTATTAAACTAAAAGAGGGCGTTGAGCTCCCCATTAAAAGGGGAGCTAAATGCCCCCTTATTCACTCCAGCCCATCCGATTCTCACATCGAATGGGCAGGAAAAAAAGAAGCCCATGCTTCTTTATTTAGAAGCCCATTCATCACTATTTTTATTTAAATAAAATTACATGTCAGCAATGTGTAGTGGCAACATGAATGTAACCTGCAAAAAAAAAAAAAAAAAAAAAAAAAAAACTAATTGACACATTTTTAGAGGTAAGTGTGTCCAATTAGATTATGTTTTAGTTGATGCGGAATTAAGCATTTTGGAGTAGTAGATGAGTCTATTTGACACTTGTGCCTTATTATTATTATTAATTATTATGTGTATACTCTTTTGGTTATTTTAAATGTTAACAGTTAATTTTACCAAACATCTTTTTACAAACTGCTGATATAATCTGCTAGTCAAACTCGCTAATACGATTCGCTAACCGTTGATTACCAAACAAGCCCAATTATCATTATTCTAAATGGATGATCACTGAGCAAATACTAATTTTTTAAGTATTAGGAATGTTTTTAAAAAAATAATAATAATAAGTTAAATTCCATTAGGAAAATACTTATGTACTCTCAAAATTTTACTCCCAACCTTTACTTACACTTGTGTCTAAATTTGATTGAAAGATGAAACAAAGAAATGAATAAACATCATAGCCCCTTTTAAAATTGAGAAATCAAAGCATGCCAAATGATCGATAGGGAGTACAAAATGGGAGTATGTATTGGGAGTACATGTACTCTCATTTCATATTCTCTACTTTGACTCCCACACTAAAAATATTGATGTAGACATTTTACAGGAAGTCACATGAAGAAAATAATCTATCAGAATCTACCATATCAGGAAGTAAATTTGAAAGAGTAAGATTTGAAAGTACATGTAATAGAATTCATTAAATCCCATCAATAATTCAGACCTTATCCCATCTTTCATCATTATTGCTACATGAAAAGTTAGATCCCATCAATAATTCAGACCTTATCCCATATCTCATCATTGCTGCAATACTCGTCTCATTTAATTTCTTGCTCAGTAAATGCTCCGATCTGAATTTCAGAAACACTTGAAAATAGTTGAATCAGAAACACTTCATAGTTTCAACAACTAACTCAGACCTTCAAGGTATGTTTCATACTTTCTCCTGCTTGACTTGAAGAATTCCACTTTTACTTTGATACAGTTTAGCATAACTCACTCACCATTACATTTTCCCTCTCAATTCCTTTGCTTTTTGCTACATGTTTATTAACTATAAAATTTAATAATTTTGGACTAGATATTTAACTGTGTTCACTATATACGAAAATATTCATAGACTTTTATATATATATATATATATATATATATATATATATATATATATATATATATATATATGTTGGAATTTTTAGCTAAAAATGACATTTTGAGTGATTATTTTGTGGTACAAATATATGTGGGTCCACTTCCGATTTGGGTCGGGTCAAAGTGGATTTGGGTTCTTCGTAGTGAGACGAAGAATTTGATATAATGTACGCTCAAAATGGGTAATAGGTGAATGAGAAATTGATTCTCAAAGTGAACCTATTTGAGAGAAGTCGACAACTTAAACCTATTGTTTAGTGGCTAATTAAAATTAGCACTAATCTTGGTGCTAATTACTTAGCATTCACGAAGGAATGCTTGTAATTTAGCATTGGAAAAGGTTAAGTTGCAACATGGTAATTAAGCTTTTGAAAGCTTGATTAGTGAATTGGGAAAAGGAACTTTCGTGTTATGCTTTGTGCATTGACGAAAGTTGTGCATGAATTGAGCTTAAGCTTTGGATTCCAAAGTAACTCGTTTCGTGCTGTGGATTCGGTGTGCACGAATCAAATGTTATATGCATTGATTCGTGCTGCACCGTTTCGGTGCTTGCGGACCACTCGGGTGTGGTTTCAGGTCCCAATTTGTTAAACCTTCGGGTTTATACGGACTTCTCAGTCACTCAGATATTTTGAAACGGGTCGTTATGGTCGGTACGAATTAATCGCGTATTAAGTTCGTGACCGTTGATATTATTTTGATAATAAGTATGACCGTTTCAAACGTTTTAATTCAATTTTTAAATTGGATTAATGGTGGTTTATGTGCCATGAATATGTTATTTATTCATATTTCCCCTACAAATAGCTACGGTGGTGGCAGAATGTTTACACACAACATTCAAGATTGAAACTCTCAAAACCTTTGCATTTTCTCTCTACTCTCATCTCATGTTTTGAAAAGAAATTCTGCCAACATCTTCCATAAAACATCGGAGTGCTCAACTTGTGTTCTAGTTCGCCGGACTTTGGGTTGGAGTGCTCGAACGCCAAAGTCGTAGTCCGTTTTATCCTGGGAGACTGACGCCACAACGATCCTAGCACCCTCGGGAGGTGGCGAATTGGTTTTAAGAAGAGTGTGTGTACACACGACTCGGGCTCCCTCTACTTCTTCTTGTTTCTTCGCGTTGGGTTAAAACTTCAGGTTAGAAACCCGTTCTTGCTTTTATTTTGTTCTTGGTTTCGGACCAAGTGGTGGGATTAATCTCGGATAGATTAAATCCCTGTACTAGTTTCGTACTAGTTGTGGTGGGATTAATTTCGTGGAAATTAAGTCCCGTGTACTAGTTTCGTACTAGTTGTGGTGGGATTATTTTGATAAAATAAATCCCTAGTTGGTTAATATATATACGAGGTATATATATGTAATTTTGGTTTCGTACCAAAATTGGTTGGAATTAATTTTGTACAAATTAAATTCCATCTTTCGGGATAAATATATATTTTATATATATTTCGTGTATCGATTTATTCACTAATTTCCAACAATCTTAAAACCGATTATTTCTTGGTGATTAAATCGATGGATTCCACGAGTGGTGGAACCATGAATGTTGCTCGTAATGCACATTCAAATGGTCGGATCGGCAACGTAGTTGCACATTCCGAAACCCCGGTGAACTTTGGTTCGGAGACCGGTGGTGGCATCAAAGGGTATATCCCTATGATGAAGGTATGTGGGACGGTACCTTGTGGATTGGTCGAAAGACCATGGAGATTCAAAGAAGTTGAATTTTGAATGGTGGCAACTTAAAGTGTTGTTCAACCTAGTGATTCTCGGCATGTCATGGTTCTTGATCGAGATGGTTCCTAGTTGAAAGGAACATGAGTCTAACGCTCAAACCGTTAGCATAGTAAGGATTTGGAAATATTTGATTTTTCCTATGCCTAAACTATGTTTTTAATGGCTTGTGTGACTCGTTGTGGGAATCTTTGGACCTGAAGTATAAGAGTGATGACGCTAAGGCAAAAGTGTTTGTCGTTAGCCGATTACTTGAATACAAGATGGTAGATTCCGGGATCGTCCTAAGTCAAGTTGACGAAGGAATGATCGTGAGTGAAGCCTTTCAAGTGGAATCTGGTATCCATTTGTTGCCTTTGGGCAGAAAGGACTTCAAGAAGCAATTCCACGGAATATGCTTGAATGGCTTAACGGCCATAGTGGTATGTAACAAACGTGTTGCATGGTTGAAATCTCGTAAAGGACTTCGGTTCTAGATTTCAAGTATAGTCAATTTGTCAAAATTGGGATGGCTATATAATCGTGAGCGTCAAAGCTCAAGTGTATTGAATATTTTAAATAATATTCTTAATACGATTATATAAGCTTGACTCAACTAGTTGGGAAAATTTGGTTGATATAATCTTATTAATTATGTAGAAATTAACTTGATTAAAGATACCAAATTGTACTAGTATGAAATTAATTTGTGACAAATGACGGAAGTGTTGGGACAACAAAATAAATCTTGAACCACCTAACTTGCGAGTAATGGTGTAATGATTTATAAAGTTGTCACTATTGTGGATTAAGACAAGGTTTTGTCTAATTTTGGAATGAAGGCAAGGGTTAATTACTAATTGGGCTATAAGCTCGGTGTAATAACCGTAATTAATAAGAACATTATTAATTGGTCTTGCCTGGTTGGGTCTTCGTGTTTGTGGCACGGTAGACAAGGTCATGGTAATTTTGAATCTATACGTAGATTAGTTAGCATGGACCACATTCCAAATTTTATGATAAGCACAAATATGATATTTGTGATGTGGCAAAACCACCGAGAAGTGAAGTGCACATCTCGGGTCTGAGAAGTGCTAGAAGCACCTCTAGGCCATGTGATCGAGAAGTAAACGTACATTTCGGTCATAGGCGAGTTATCGAGAAGTGGAGGTACATAACCTTCGGGTGACATCTTGGATGTACTTCTCGGAGTATCAACGATAGCACTCGAAAGTGCTAAGTGAATTTTGCTTGAGAGTAAAAACGATGTCGTTGATAAATTTATTCTTTATAAGAATAAAGTGGAAAACCAACTTAATCGTGGAATTCAGGCGGTTAGAAACGATCGATGTGGTGAATATGAAACACCTATTGGTGATTTCTGCGCAAGCATTGGTATCGTACTCGAGCCTACGACACGGTATTCACTTCAATCGAATGTTTTTGCCGAACATAAATATCAAGACGTTGATAAGTTCGGGTCTACCTCAAAGTGTGTGGGGTGAGACAAGACTTTGGACAAGTAAGTACCTTTTAAATAAGGTTACCCACATGAAACTCGATAAGGCTTCTTATGGGTTATGGGTACGTAGGAAGCTTTCCTACTAATACCTGAAATGTGGGGGTGTCTTGCCAAAGGCGTTTTTTGGTTCTTAGTACATGAGTCCTATGTTCTGGACGTACATAAGAACACGATATTTGAATCAAGGAATGCATCGTTCTTTGAAGATGTATTTCCGTGTAGGTCCAGTGAGGGACCTAGTACGTCGAAACGAACATTCGACGAGGCTGTGGATAACGGCAGTGGAGGGTTTGAAATAGAACCCGAGCTCGAAGCTAGACGTAGCAAGCGAGTTAGGATTGAAAAATCCTTTGGTCCAGATTTTGACGTACATGTTAGAATGTGATACGCATATTCTAACTTGTTTACTAGAAAATGAACCGGATTTTCTGACATGTTTGTTAGAAAGCGAGCCTCAAACGTATGTAGAAGCTGTGACTTCTACGGAAGGACCAATGTGGAAAGAGGCTATAAAGAGTGAAGTGGATTCTATCCTACAGAATCACACTTGGGAACTGGTTGATCTTCCTCCGGGTAGTAAGCCCTTGGGATCCAAGTGGGTCTTTAGACGGAAGTTGAAACCTGATGGTTCCATTGAGAAGTATAAGGCTAGGCTTGTAATTAAGGGTTACAGGCAACGCGAGGGCCTTGATTACTTCGACACGTATTCTCCCGTAACGAGAATAAATTCCATAAGGATGATACTTGCCATAGCCGCACTGCGGAGTTTGGAAGTTCATCAAATGGATGTGAAAACAGCTTTCTTGAATGGCGAGTTAGATGAAGAAATCTATATGGAACAACCTGAGGGTTTTGCGGTTCCAGGCCAAGAAAAGAAAGTCTGTAAATTGGTTAAATCGTTATATGGTTTAAAACAAGCGCCTAAGCAGTGGCACGAGAAGTTTGACCATGCGTGTTAACCAATGGGTTCAATATAAACGAAAGTGACAAGTGTGTCTACGTTAAGGAAATGATAGACGGTTATGTCATTCTTTGTTTATATGTGGATGATATACTCATCGTGGGTAGTAACGATCGAATGATCAAATCTACTAAGGACATGTTAAATTCGAGATTTGACATGAAGGATATGGGTTTGGCAGATTTAATCCTTGAGATTAGAATCGTGAGAAGACCTGATGGTCTCGTGTTAAGCCAATCTCATTATGTTGATAAAATCCTTGCAAAGTTTAACAAGGATGATTATCAAGTGGCTAGGACTCCATTAGATACTAGCGTTCATCTGTCCAAGAATCGCGGAAAGTGTATATCTCAAGTAGAATACGCTAGGATTATTGGAAGTTTGATGTATCTAATGAGCTGTACCAGGCCTGATATTGCCTTTGCGGTTAGCAAACTCAATAGATATACGAGTAACCCCAGTGATGCGCACTGGAAGGCAATAGTGAGAGTTATGAGATACTTGAGGTATACTCGTGACTGGGGACTGCACTATACACGATATCCTGCTGTACTTGAAGGGTATAGCGACGCTAACTGGATATCGGATATGAAGGACTCTTAGTCCACGAGTGGCTACGTGTTTACGTTAGCCGGTGCAGCCGTTTCTTGGAAATCCTCGAAACAAACCTTGATAGCTAGATCCACGATGGAATCTGAGCTGATAGCCTTAGACAAATGTTGTGAAGAGGCTGAATGGCTACGCCATTTTGTGGAGGATATTCCTTGTTGGGATAGACATGTACCTCCAATTAGTGTGCATTGTGATAATCAAGCAACAATTGGGAGAGTACAAAGTCATATGTATAATGGTAAGTCTAGACATATACGTCGAAGACATAATACCATTAAACAACTACTCACAACGGGTGTTGTCTCTGTTGACTATGTGAAGTCAAAGGACAATATAGCGGATCCGCTAACCAAAGGGTTGAGCAAAGATGTTGTTGAGAAGTTGGCACGAGGAATGGGTTTGAAGCCTATGGAATAAAAGTTCAATAGTGGACACCCAACCTAGCTGGCACCTAGGTTCAATGGGACAACTAAATTATGGAACGAAGCGTGTCACTGTGGGGGTCTCGGACTCCCTACCATTCCTCGTTAGAACAGTGACTCCCGCACGAGGCTAGCATGTTGATGCTTTAATGATTCGAATGTCGGTTGACATGTGTGAGTATGCGGGATACTCGATAAAGAATCACCTATGTTAGAGAGAAGTGGGGTCGCTTCAAAGGAGAATTGGTGGGCTCAATTCTTTAGAAACTCTCGCAGAACCAGGAAAGTGACCCATGACCAAAACGGGCACACCCATGAGAACAGAACAAACGTTGGAAGGTTCCTGTGTGGGATATGTCATCGTCTACACAAACGGCAGTTGGTTCAAAGACATCAAGTTCTACCATACAGCTAGTAGAGTAAACATATTTTCACAAGGCAAGGTTCAAAGGGTAACACCTACCTATGCTATGCAGGGATCGACCGTTGAGCACGTTCGTGTCGATTTTTCCTCGTCCCGAAAATCAATTTTCATTCATGTGGGGGATTGTTGGAATTTTTAGCTAAAAATGACATTTTGAGTGATTATTTTGTGGTACAAATATATGTGGGTCCACTTCCGATTTGGGTCGGGTCAAAGTGGATTCGGGTTCTTCGTAGTGAGACGAAGAATTTGATATAATGTACGCTCAAAATGGGTAATAGGTGAATGAGAAATTGATTCTCAAAGTGAACCTATTTGAGAGAAGTCGACAACTTAAACCTATTGTTTAGTGGCTAATTAAAATTAGCACTAATCTTGGTGCTAATTACTTAGCATTCACGAAGGAATGCTTGTAATTTAGCATTGGAAAAGGTTAAGTTGCAACATGGTAATTAAGCTTTTGAAAGCTTGATTAGTGAATTGGGAAAATGAACTTTCGTGTTATGCTTTGTGCATTGACGAAAGTTGTGCATGAATTGAGCTTAAGCTTTGGATTCCAAAGTAACTCGTTTCGTGCTGTGGATTCGGTGTGCACGAATCAAATGTTATATGCATTGATTCATGCTGCACCGTTTCGGTGCTTGCGGACCACTCGGGTGTGGTTTCAGGTCCCAATTTGTTAAACCTTCGGGTTTATACGGACTTCTCAGTCACTCAGATATTTTGAAACGGGTCGTTATGGTCGGTACGAATTAATCGCGTATTAAGTTCGTGACCGTTGATATTATTTTGATAATAAGTATGACCGTTTTAAACGTTTTAATTCAATTTTTAAATTGGATTAATGGTGGTTTATGTGCCATGAATATGTTATTTATTCATATTTCCCCTACAAATAGCTACGGTGGTGGCAGAATGTTTACACACAACATTCAAGATTGAAACTCTCAAAACCTTTGCATTTTCTCTCTACTCTCATCTCATGTTTTGAAAAGAAATTCTGCCAACATCTTCCATAAAACATCGGAGTGCTCAACTTGTGTTCTAGTTCGCCGGACTTTGGGTTGGAGTGCTCGAACGCCAAAGTCGTAGTCCGTTTTATCCTGGGAGACTGACGCCACAACGATCCTAGCACCCTCGGGAGGTGGCGAATTGGTTTTAAGAAGAGTGTGTGTACACACGACTCGGGCTCCCTCTACTTCTTCTTGTTTCTTCGCGTTGGGTTAAAACTTCAGGTTAGAAACCCGTTCTTGCTTTTATTTTGTTCTTGGTTTCGGACCAAGTGGTGGGATTAATCTCGGATAGATTAAATCCCTGTACTAGTTTCGTACTAGTTGTGGTGGGATTAATTTCGTGGAAATTAAGTCCCGTGTACTAGTTTCGTACTAGTTGTGGTGGGATTATTTTGATAAAATAAATCCCTAGTTGGTTAATATATATACGAGGTATATATATGTAATTTTGGTTTCGTACCAAAATTGGTTGGAATTAATTTTGTACAAATTAAATTCCATCTTTCGGGATAAATATATATTTTATATATATTTCGTGTATCGATTTATTCACTAATTTCCAACAATATATATATATATATATATATATATATATATATATATATATATATATATATATATATATATATATTAGCAAATCAGCATACAAATAATTGAAAAGCTTGTAATGGTAATTGGTAACAAACTTTGCATTTTCGGTTGAATCACATGAAGTTTAGAAACTAGCGGGGCCGGTTTTTAGTTTTGTGTAGCCCCGTTCTTAAAATAAACGAGGTCTATCAAAAGCCTAATTAAATGATAGATATCACTAGTTAGAATTGAACATTTGACCTCCCAAAGAAAATAAAATAGACACATGTTTCTACCATCCCTCCATGTAACCTTTTAAGATTAATTGTAATTTTTATGTTTTTTAATATCTTAACTAGTTAAGTAAAAATTAAATATTGGGCCCTCTAAAATTTGGGGTCCTGTGCCACAGCCCAAAATCCGGCCCTGAAAACTAGCTAGCTAGAAGATGCAATGATTTTGCTGAGGATACTATATATAATTCAGCAGATTAGATTTGAGTTAATACCCAATTTAATCTTTGAGTATAGTAGTTTTTCTCGATTTAGTACTAAATGACTTTTTATATTAATTAGATCTTCGATTTTGATGGTTTTATCTAATTGAATCCTTAGCTATTAGAATAAGGACTAAATTGAAAACAATCACTATAGTCGAAAACTAAATTGGTTAAAACAATTATAGTTAGTCAAAACAATTATAGTCGAATACTAAATTGGATAAAACTATTATAGTTGATGACTAAATTGAGTATTACTTGAGATGAAATTAAATTATCATGCTATCTTAACATATGACTCAGTTGAATAAAAGTAAAAGTGTAAAACCATCAAAATTGACGACCTAATTAAGTACAAAAAATCATTTAGGACTAAATCGAAAAAAATTACTATAGTGTATGACTAAATTTTGTATTAACTTATTAGATTTTAACCCATCTAGCTTGCATGCAAGCACCATCTCTGTTATAATCATTCCATTTCATTTTCAATAATTGAGAGTAATAAGTCTAATGTGAATTCCGGCCAGGAACACTTTAGTGAGGTTCAATGGATTTTGATGTTGTAACCACTCTAATCAAAATAGTTGATCAACACCTTATGGAGCCCAAACTACTTTCGAGTTTTGATGATTCACTGCTTGAAACAATCAAGTTGCTGTCTGCCAAGCTCTGCTTTGTGCAAGCCTTTTTGGAGGAATGTAAGACGAAAATGAATCACAGGGACACCTGCGCTAACATACTGTATGAAACAATCCGAGATAAAGTTGCTAGAAGATATGAAAATTACAAAATAGAATCTAAACTGAGAATGGTATATTTTGGAGTTAACTGGGGAGAGTCTGAATTTGTGGCTTCTGAACTTCATTTGACCTTGAAACAAGTGTTAAGAGATATCGAGGAAGCTGGAGAATGGATCCCATTGTTAAGAAAAATAATTACTTTAGAGCCTAAGAAAGAGGACATCACAGTTTGCGATACCTACCAAAATGCTTTAGAGACTGAGAATGAAGTGATTGTAGGATTCGACAGTGATATAGAGACAATAATAAAACGGCTCACTTTTTTATACTCGAAGAGTAAAGTTTTCACCATTTTGAGGAGTAATGACATTGACAAGTTACGAGAATATGTTGAAAATCCATTGGTGAAACTAAAAGTTATCCCACTAGTTGGGGAAGGAGGCATTGGAAAAACTACATTAGCCAGAAGAGTATATGGACATCTAATTACTATTGGTAGCTTTCACATTCGAGCATGGGTAGTTGTGTCTCAGGTTCATAACCTTAAAGAGATGCTCATTGGTCTATTACGTTGTATTTCACCAATCACTAGTGAAATCTACAACATAGATGAGGCTCAGATAGCTGAGCAATTATGCAGAAGTTTGATGGGGCAGAAGTATTTAATTTTCTTAGATGACATATGGACCACTGCTGCATGGGATGCCATCCAAGGATGTTTTCCAGAGAATTCTAATGGAAGCCGAATCTTAGTAACTACTCGGTTTGTAGAGGTGGCTGAATACTTAAGTGCAAATCCCTACCATGTGAAGTATCAAACTATAGAGGATCGTTGGGAATTAATTTCGAGAAAAGTGTTTGGGCAAGGCCAATACGTTCCCAAGAAATATGAGATAATTGGGAAACACATTGTTCGTGGTTGCAGTGGATTACCACTAGCAGTTGTTGTAATTGCTGGACTTTTGGCAACAGCAAAAGAGTCTCTAGAAATATGGAAAGATGTTGCGGAAACTTTGGTTGGAATTAATACATATGATGGAGTTAATACATATGATAGCAACAAAACAATTTCAAATATACTTTCATTGGGCTACAACTACTTACCTAGTCACTTGAAACCTTGCTTTCATTATTTTGGTGTATTTCCTGAAGACAATGTCATTCCTGTTAAGAGACTAATCAACTTATGGGTTGCAGAGGGATTTTTAATCCCACATAAATATATGAGTTTGGAAGAAGTGGCAGAGAGTTACTTGGATGATCTCATTAATAGAAGTCTAATTCAAATTAATGAGCTGAGTATTGACGGCAAAGTTAAATCATGTAAGATTCATGATCGAGTGCTTGAGATTTGTGTGAGAGAAGCAATAAATGGGAATACTTTGTTCATTATCAATGATAATCATGCTACAAAAGCAAGTCATTGGTTAAGCTGTCAAACAAGTCATTGGCCAATTACTCAAGCGAATTATGGGAATCGCAGTCTAGATAAAATCCATTCCATTCTCTGCTTTGGTAAAGATGTATATCATTCAAAATGCAGGTTGGTATACCCATGTTTGGAAATGCTAAGAGTATTGGATTTATCATTAGTTAAATGGTCACGATGCATGCCTAGTGAAATAACAGATTTGGTTCATTTGAGATACTTGGCTTTAAGTACCATTGGTTCTCTTTACAAGCTTCGATTTTTCAAGCTTAAAAATTTACTAACTCTCATAGTTACTTCGTGGATGGAAAAATGTCCTTTGCAACTGCCATGTGATATTTTGAATTTGTCGGAATTGAGGCATTTGCATGTTGACAAGAGATGTTCACAGTATCTCCCTAGCTCAGTCAAAGAAAATCTACAAACCCTCTATTGGTTGAAAGTTGCTAGCTCCGACAAGCAACCAAACTTCAGAAAGGTTCCAAACCTAAAGGAACTTGGGATTTACATTGAAGGTCAATTGGTGCCTAGCTATCTAGGGAGCCTTGTGTATTTACATGTACTTGAGAAGCTGAAGTTTGAAGTAGGAAGAGTCGAGCGCTTTTATCTTCCAACAGATTTCCCACCAAACCTTAAGAAGTTGACACTTCGTTATACTTATCTTCCATGGAAGGAGATGGACAAAATTGGCAAGTTACCACATCTTGAGGTGCTTAAACTAAAAGATTTTGCCTTCTGTGGGTCAAAGTGGGAACCATCGAAGAGCTTTCGGAAATTAAAGGCACTTCTCATTTCACGTTCAAATCTCAAACATTGGAATACAAGTTCTAATCATTTCCCAGTTTTGGAACGTCTTGTCTTAAGATATTGTTGGGAATTGAAAGAAGTTCCACTTGAGTTTGCAGATATTGGAACACTGAAGTTAATTGTGTTAGAATGTTGTTATTCTTCACTTGTGACTTCTGCAAATCAGATTTATTCTGCGAAGAAGTACTTATTAGAGGAAATAGCACCTTGTCCACTTCGCGTTCGTAAAGTTAGAACTAAGGTTTCTCTCTAATTCTTGTTCATTGTTTCAAAATATTAGTTTTTTGCATTCTAATTCCATGTATTAATTAATTATTTGTTTTCTTAATCATTTTCAATTATTTTTCAAGGTTGAATTGCCTATTATTTCTGAAGATGAAAGTGTTGAAAGCTCTGAAGTAAAAAGTATGGAAAGCTCTGAAAGCTCTGAAGAAGAAAGTATGGAAAGCTCTGAAGATGAAAGTGTTGGAGGATTGTGTCGTCTCAGTTGTGTATGTGGAATCCAATAACGTCATTTAGTTGTATTTGTTGCTTTACAGTTACTTTGACTACTTCATTATATACTGTACGTATTTGGTTGACTTTTATTTTGGAATAACACATTACACATTCTCTAGAGCCTTTTCTTTCTCTCTGTTAGAAATGTTGAAATTAAAGCTAGGAAGAGTGTGATGAAATATGTGAAGAAGGTGTCGAAATCTATGAATGCATTGAAAGAATTGAAGAGGAAAGAAGAAAGTGACCGAGGGTGTGCACTGGGTAAATCCTGCCTTGTGACTCTGAGCGACAATTCGGCAAAGAATCACAAAGAGGTAAACCAGTCTAGGTTGTCAATAACTGACCGATTCAAACCAAGAGGGCTGGGAGTTGAACTCGTGACTTGTTGCTTTCATGAGTTCATGCACTGCCTAATGTTGATAAGTATACCACACTTGTCCAGTCTAATCCAGATTGGTGGTTGGAAATTCGTAACATATTGAAATGCTTTTTGGTGCACAAAAAAACACACTACTAATTTCTTGAGCTGTCAATTCCATAAATTTCTATCGATCATTCACAAATCTGCAGATCAGTCTTTCTCAAGTTATGGAAATGCACAAATCCATTATCTAGCCTTGGCATTAGTAAGATTAGAAGCAAGACAATCTGCAATAAAATGAAGTTAGCTTGCAGAGAAATGTGAGACTAATGAAATGTCAAATAATCACACTTTTGGACTTTGAGCAGTACTTATACTCGATCCATTCTCGGACTCTTCTTTTAGATTAGTGTTGAGTACTTGTCGTAATCCATATTACTTTATTTGAAAGTCCGGGTTACAAGAGAATAGTCAATGGCCCTGTTTGATAAAATAGTTAGCTTATCAGTTAATTTTGACTTATTTGACCACTATTAGCTATTTGACTTGGTTAAAAAATCAATATAAGTATTTGGTTAATCACCTTTTTGTAACTCCAAAATCCTAAAATTCAAAAAGCTGTTCAAAATAACTTTTTCAATTAGCTTTTTGAGAAAAGAAATTATACAATCAGCTATTTAAAAGTATGACACTCATCTGTGTCATGGCCATGTCGCTTGTGGAATCGACAGTATTTTGACTTATCGACTCTGTGAACCTCCATGGTGGATGGTCGGGGTAACCGCACCATGTTGCATCCCTCAATATAGGCTAGCACCTCACTTGGATGCGTTGTTAATGGCGTCAAAGGTCTTGGTGCTGTCAGCATAGGTGTGAATAACCTTGGAGTCCTATTTGGGGTCGATGACCCTGCCCGCAAGGCCATCCGATTTTGTTCCGAGTGCCGTTCTACAGGTCGTTCTGGCACCTTCTTATTTGGTTCGGGAGTTTCTTCTATCAAGGGTCTCTTAGAAGACCATTCTTCTTCTTCTCTTTTGATCCGGTTTGCTTCCTTGGCCTTGGCGTAACCGGGTATGGAGGTACAGAACGAAGGGTAGGAAAATAGTAACCATTATTATCTGGGGCGCTAGGCCCAGAATAGTACCTAAAAAGCCCGAGACACCGGTCCAAAAGATAAATAAATGATAAATTCTATAGCCCTAAGGAATGGAATAGGGCCCAAAATGATAGCTCGAATAATAATTAAATAACACAAGCTAAAGGACTAATAAATAAAACAAAATTAAATATGTTACCAACAGGACTCGTTCCCTTGTGTGCTAGCAGAAAGGAGGAGACTCGGACTAACGGACTAGAAGGGGGTTGGTGAGCCAATAAATGCCTTTTAAAGGGAGGGAATGGTGTCTATTTATATTGTTGAAAGACTCACGGATGGTTGACAAATGGACGGCATCTGGCAGCCTTCATTCTTGGCCACACACGTGTCCTACCACTACTCCTCCCTTTTAGTACATAAATCTTGACTTGTTAAGTGAGAGGTTGTGGGTTCAATACCTCCTTGGTAACACTTCTTATAATACTTTGCTCCAAGCTTTAGCTTCTTTCTTTTCTTGGCAATAAGATAGACACCCCGTTTAGGCCTGGATGCTAAGGTCTTAACGCTTAACACAAAAGCTTTCACACAAGGATTAGCACAAAGACTAAAGAAGGTCGCAAGCTGAAAGGGGTACAAGTACTTACTTCATTGATTCTGGCTTGCATATGACTCATGGCTGGAGATCTTGCCTTGCCGGGGTCTCGGCCTCGCGCACGGTTCCGGGATGCTTCCTCCTTTTTTCCCCCACCGTCACTTCCACTTCGAAACTTACCTCCCGATCGGGATCTCCCACTATCAGATGGATTTGGCTTTGATGATGTCTTTCCCTTAACCACGCACTAAAAAGACCGGTGGCCCTTCTTGCCACAAGCAAAGCGCACTGCCGGCTTCCCATGGCAATCCAAGCTGGGGTGGTCACTTCCACACTTCTTGCAAACGTAGCGCCTTGCCTTAGTCTAGTTGTTCCGGATTGGTTGGGGAGTCTTACCACCTTTAAAGTTGTTTCTTTGGAAACTTCCTGTTGATTCGGTACCGGTAACTAAACTCCTCTTACGACTCTCCCAGATTCCTTTCTGAACTTGCTGCACACGATAGAGGTCGGCTGCACAGAGATAGGCCTCATTGAGAGCCTTGGGCTTCGACACAGTCAAGGTTTTCCTAGCATCAAAGTTGAGTCCAGCAACAAACTTCTCAACTTTACTCATCTTGGTAGGTACCAAAACCGCGGTGAAACGGGCTAACTCCAGAAACTTCTTATGGTATTCCATAACCGACAATGGTACTTACTTAAGGTGGAGAAACTCCTCGTATTTTGCCGCCTTGACATGAGCGGGGTAGAACCGCTCACGTAACTTATCCTTCAAGCCTTCCCAACTGAACTCTGGATCTTGTCTACAAGCTGGCCTTTCGTGTATCCACCACAAGTCGGCCTCTTGTCTAAGGTAGAACGTAGCTAACTCCACTTGGCGATCCTCCGGGCAAACCACTACCTCGAAGATCTTGTCGAACATCCGGATCCACTCTTCTAGCACCGTGGGATCCTCTTCTCATGCGAAGATTGGGGGACGATGACCCGACACTTGGCGTGCTACGTCTCGGTTCCCATTATGTTGGTGATTGTTGTTGAGGAGGGCGTTGCTCAGCGTTTGAGTAACCCGAGTCAGCTGGTGCAGGTTTCAAGCTAGTTGTTCGTTGGTAGGCATTTCTGAAGTCCTTGCACGACATCTCGGTGGTGCCATCTTGAGTTCTACAAAAGCAGCACGGTTACGAAAGGAAACTTAGAAGCTCGCACCCTTACCCAATGCCTAAACTTAAAAGAACTAAAGCTAAAAGAAAAACAAGCACAGGAAACACAACAGAAAGCGATAGGAAAACTCACAACCTCACCACGCGTCCTAAGGTTCCTAAAACTTAGGTACTTAAACACTTAGGATTCGAGGTTAACACCTTAAAGTCTTACTCTTAAAAGCACTAACCTAGGCTCAAACCTAGGCTTTGATACCAACTGTAACACCCCCGATTTTACGTACTAAATTAAGGCAATTGAAGCTTAGGAACGAAGATTAAAGCTAAACATTAGGTATAAAAGTCATGGAAGCTAACTAGTTAACCGGAAAATGCTATGTCACATCTAGATGTCTAATCTAAATGCATAGGCTTACAAAAACTATTAACTAGAAGTCTACAAGTTACAGGGCACACAGGCCAAACTACTACTAGCTATAAGAAAGAAGCTAGTCTACCGGGCTTCACTATCGCGCTTTCGGCTCAACTACTTTGCACCTGAAAAACATAAGGCGTAGCACCCGTTAGAGAATAATTCTAAGTAACCCACCACTACGCGTTGAGTACCATATAGTATAGATATAAAAAAACCATTTGAGACTTGGCATAATATATAGTCTTTTAAAACGAGGAATAGAAACATCATAAGACTCATAATGGAACACTCTCAATCAACCAACCATCATACGATAAATCAAGAGGTCAATACAACGATAAGAACAATGGAATAATCAATAACAAATTATCATCAATATCAATCAAAGGGAAACATCAAGATATGCTCATAAGCAAGGAGTTATAAGAATCATAATCAATCCATTCCCGGCAAGGTTCCAAGTCCACGCAGGACATAGCCAAACCAAGTCATTCATCGTGGAGTCATCGCAAGGACCCGAATCATAGTGGGCCAGTGTGGAGGGCTCCAAGTCATCAATCACATACCATAGAGTCATCGCAACGACTCGGGCCGCAACCCAATGGAAACAGATCCAGTAACTTTAAGTGTATACACCCCCTATTGAGATCTCAAGCCCAACGGGTTAGCTACCTTCTCTAGCAACTGGATAAGTTTCCCAAGTTGCCCACAAATCATACGTATCCAAACGGCAACCCGGAGCTTTAAACCCACTACCGGATCAGTTCACAATGGTTGATCTGGGTTTTAAACCCACCACCGACCTGTCAAGGGCTTCCCGCACCAACATGACCCATTGCAAACAGAGCCAGAGGCCCGCCAATCACATATCAGTATCACATAAGTCCCCACACTGTCCACTATTCCACATATCAATCAAACATCTCATCAAGAGTCGATTCACACGGAATCTAGAGATACAACAAAGCATAGATTCCACACGAAGTGTGCACAACAACGGATAAGCTCAACAATAGCTTAATCAATGAATAATCATGATAAGGTACAACATTTGTACAAGCTCATAATCATAGGTTTAATCAAAGGAATTCAAGGAAGGGCATGAAGGAAACATTTCAACGTATTCCACAATAACGAAAGACTTTAACTCAATAGACCACAATGATTGGTAAAACACAAGTTACCAATCCTCATCAAGAATAGGCATGGGGAATACAAGGAAAGCACATACTAGTACCAATAACAACGTAGCTAGCATGCAATTCATCAAGGCAATCATAAAGGCTCAAACGAACATCATAGACTTCATTCCAATCCAACGAATCACAAGGTTGGATCACATACATGATTCAAGACTTACAAACCCTATCATGGGTACTTAAGACATCGTTCTAGACTTATGAAACATCAATCAAGACACACAAGTGCACAACGGATCAATAAAGCGGAGGTCAAAATACATCGTACCAGTGGGCGGAACGGTGGGTGGACAACCTCCTGTCGTTCCCCCCATTGTGTACCAGCGAGTGAAACCACGGGTGGACAACCAACCGCGGCTCCGCCCGTCACCAACCATCAACGTTCCCCGCGGGTGGAACGGCGGGTGGACAACCCCCCGTTGTTCCTCCCGCGGGTACATACCTGCGGAAAACTCTTCCCTTCGGGGAAAAACATCAACATTGCCAAGTTCAAGTCCAAAACACCCAAAACTGACGTCAATCATCAAAGGAACTTGAACACATGGAATAACTCAAAGAATAGCATTTAAGGACCCTAAATACAAGCTCTAAAAATGCATAAACACAAGAATACGCACATAATCACTCAATAGCATCAAGGATGTCAAGAATCTCAATAGCATCAAGAATGTCAAGAAATCATCATAGCAAGTATAAAATAGATTTTGTAAGACATAGGTTACCTCCTTAACTTGGCAAATCACCACAAGCACCTCTAGATCAACTTAGCTCTCAACATCTACTTGATCTTCATCAAACTCCCAAAACCCAACAAGATAGAAGAGAGATTTTAGAGAAATAGGAAGGAAATCTTGAATAGAAAATGTGTAGGAAGATAGATCTTATCACCTCTAGCCTTGGAGTGTTAGAAAGTTGGAGTCTTGGCTTGGATCTCTTGAAGAAATGTGAAGATGAACTCTAGGGTTTTCTTGGAGAGAATGAGGAGTGGGAAGCAAGAAAGAAGGGTGTAGAGAGATGGAGAAATCTTGAAATGTGTTGGGGTGTCTTGGTTAGGGTAGGGTTTTAAGGTTAGAAATGGTGAAAAGACCAAAAGGGCCCCTTCTTTCCAAAAACAAGTTAGAAGAAAAACAAAGTCTAGAGTACAAGGAATAAAGCATAAGGTCTACCCATTGACCAAATTAAAATGCTAAGGGATTTGGTCAAACTAAATCCCTTAACTAATTTCAATGGGGAATTAGGAAAAGAATTGTAAGGCCACAAGGAATTAATTAAGAAATTAATTCGAGTTTAAGGAGTGAATTTCCAGGGTGTCACAACAAAGGTGGCTAAATAAGTGCAGATCCCTACCATGTGAAGTATCTAACTTTAGTGAATCTATGGGAATTGTTTTCAAGGAAAGTGTTTGGGCAAAGCCAATGGGTTCCGTCCGTGGAATACGGAGAGATGTGGAGAGAACTTTGAGCGATTGGGAAAAAGATTGTTTATGGTTGCAGTGGATTACCACTAGAAGTTGTTGTGATTGCCGGACTTTTAGCGACAATAGAAAAGTCAATACAAATATGGAGAGATGTTGAGGAAACTTGGATAGAGTTGATAGATATGATAATGACAAAAGAACTTCACAAATACTTTCATTGAGCTACAACTACTTACTTCCTCACTTGAAACCTTGTTTTCATTATTTTGGTGTGTTTCCTGAAGACAATGTCATTCACGTTAAGAGATTAATCAACTTATGGGTTGCAGAGGGATTTTTAATGTCACATAAAAGTATGAGTTTGGAAGAAGCAGTTGCAGAGAGTTACTTGCATGATCTCATTAAAAGAGGTTTAGTTCAAATTAATGAGCTAAGTATTGATGGCAAAGTTAAATCATGTAAGGTTCATGATCGAGTGCACAAGGTCTGTGCGAGACAAGCAATAAAGGGGAATGCTTTGTGCATTATCAATGACAACCATGCTCCAAAAGCTAGTCATCGGTTAAGCTGTCAAACAAGTCATTGGCCAATCACTCAAGCAAGTTATAGAAATTGCTCTCCCTATAAAATCTTTTCAGTTCTTTGCTTTGGTAAAGATGTATACCGTTCCAAATGCATGTTGGTATACCCATGTTCAAAATTGCTGAGAGTATTAGATTTATCATTAGTTAAATGGCGCCACAAGGGATGCCTAGTGAAATAACAGATTTGGTTCATTTGAGATATTTGTCTTTAAGTACCATTGGTTCTCTTTACAAGCTTCAATTTCTCGAGCTTAACAATTTGCTAACTCTCATAGTTACTTCTTGGATGGAAAAATGTCATTTGCACCTGCCATGTGATATTTTGGGTTTGCCACGATTGAAGCATTTGCATGTTGACAAGAGATGTTCACAGTATCTCCCTTGCTTAGTCAAAAACAATCTACAAACTCTTTATTAGTTGAAAGTTGCTAGCTTCAACGAAAAACCAGTTAGAGGGATTTACATTGAAGGCCAATTGGCGCCTAGCCATCTAGGGAACCTTGTGCATTTACATCTACTTGAGAAGTTGAAAATTGAAGTAGGAAGGGTCGAGCACTTTTGTCTTCCAACAGGTTTTCCACCAAACCTTAAGAATGAAGTTGACACTTCGTTATACTTTTCTTCCATGGAAGGAGATGGACACAATTGGCAAGTTGCCGCACCTTAAGGTACTTAAACTAAAAGATTTCGCCTTTTGTGGCTCAACGTGGGAACCATCGAAGCAGCCGAGCCGGGCTTTCGAGAATTAAAGGCACTTCTTATTTCACGTTCAAATCTCGAACATTGGAATACAAGTTCTAATCATTTCCTAGTTTTGGAGCGCCTTGTCTTATTAAGATATTGTTGGGAATTGAAACAAGTTCCAATTAATTTTGCAAAAATTGGAACACTGAATTTAATTGTATTAGAATGTTGTTATTCTTCTCTTGTGACGCAGATTTCTTCTGCAAAAAGCGGAACATTAAAGGGAAAGGCAGGTTGTCCACTTCGTGTTCGTAAAGTTGGAACTAAGGTTTCTTTCTAATTCTTGTTCATTATTTCAAAATATTAGTTTTCTGCATTCTAATTCCATGTATTAATTGATTATTTGCGTTTTTACTCATTTTCAATTACTTTTCAAGGTTGAATTGCCTATTATTGAAAGATATGAAGAAGAAAGTGTCGAAAACTGTATAGAAGAAATGTTGAAAGCTGATAAGTATTCTGATGCATTGAAGAAGAAAGTGCAGTGACTTAAGAAAGGTTGTTAATTGAATTTGAACTTCACTTTATGTTTCAGCTTGTAAGTTCATGGCAGCATGGCTGAAGTTTATTGCTAATGTTGTGATGTTTATAAATTTAGTCACTTGTCCAGTCCAATCCAGATTGGTGGGATGGTGATCTGTCTCTTTGGTTGGGAGAAAACAAACACAAAATATTTTTGGTTTCCATTTGATTTGAACAATTTCAGCTATGTGTGTTATGATGTTTTTTTCTACTTCAATGACACCATGGTTAAGTTGTAACAGTCCATTGAATAAAAATTATCATTACCAATTACATCAATATCTTTAATAATGAATCTATAATAAAATATACAATAACAACACTATAATAAATATATAAGCATAAATTTAAAAACTGTATGTATAAATAATAGTTAGCAAAGAATATATATAGCTTGCCCACGAAAAAGTTAAAATATTATTCTAAAACATAATGTACATTATATTACCCAAATGTGTCATTATTCTAACTCGTAATGTACATTATTCTAACACATAATGTAAATTATTCTAACACGTAATGTACATTATTCTAACACAAAATGTACAATATTCTAACACATAATGTACATTATTTTTACTCATAATCTTCATGACGATGTTTTGGACCCGTGGTCCACACAGCTGTGTGGACATATATATATATATATATATATTATATATATATATATATATATATATATATATATATATATATATATATATATATATATATATATATTATATATATATATATATATATATATATATATTATATATATATATATATATATATATATATATATATATATATATATATATATAGAGAGTTGCACTCGGGTGCGAACGGCTCACCCAGGCGCGAAATAGGAATGGATTCTGTTCGTCCACGTGTCCAGATCTAATGGATGAGAAACACTGATTTTTTTAAAAAACGCGGTGGCATTTTCGTAAATAATTGAACATCGAAGTGCAAGTAAAATGTATTACAAGTGCATGTAAAATGTATTATAGGTGCAAGTAAAAATTTACACTGAGCATCAATACTTAGTTGCACTTATAGTTCTAAGTACTTGCACACATAGGTATAAGTAGTTGCATTTAGGTGTATGAATGTTTGCGAATGGTTTTCAGGAGTATTACTACCCGCTGAACTCAGATCAATGAATGTTAACAAGACAAAATTACATGCACTGATAGGTGAAAGTAGGTGCACATATAGTTATAAGTAGTTGCACCTATAGTTATAAATAGTTGCACATATAGTTATAAGCACGCCCAGGTGCATGAATGGTTGCGGAAAGTGAATGCTAACAAGGCAAAATTACATGCACTTATAGGTGAAAATAGGTGCACTTATAAGAGATTTTACTTGCACTTCGATGTTCAATTATTTACGAAAATGTCACCGCGTTTTTTTTTAAGTTATTAGATCTGGACACGTGTCACGCGCTGATTCGTTCGCATTTCCTTCCTGGGCACTTATTCGCACCTGAGTGCGTCCCTCTATATATATATATATATATATATATATATATATATATATATATATATATATATATATATATATATATATATATATATATATATATATATATATATATATATATAGAGAGAGAGAGAGAGAGAGAGAGAGGAAGTGATCGGAAGGAAGCTAAACCAAAGAATTATTCAACCTTAGAATGAAGATTTCTAGAGCTCTTATTCAACTTGTCTCTAATGACAAAAGAGTTAAATCAATCTTAGAAAGTATTAATGAAGGTGTACAAGTTCTCAAATGTATAGAAGAGATCTTAGACACAATTTTCAAGCCTGATACCTATAACTCTACTAAAGAGACGAATGGGTAATAAGCAATATGAAGTCTTTTTAGAGGAAAATTTGACTTTGCGCAAATAGAGAGATGGTCCTTACCATATGGTTTATGGTAGCGTAAATTAAGGATCGTGGCACGTAAAATGGAGAAAATTCGTCTTTTGAATTAATACTCAGCTTTTTGCATCTATTTAAGGAGGACCCCAATCTTAGAATAAAGTATTAATTTTAATTCTCAGCTTTTTGCATCTATCTAAGGATGACCCCAATCTTAGAACAAAGTATTAATTTTACAAGCTTCTCAAAGCTTTCAAACGATATTCAGTGTGATAAGTTAAAAGAATCATCTAGATTCTAATAGTAGTCCAACCCCAAAACAAAATCATCTTTTTTTTTTTTCCTTTGAAAGGTGTTTAATGACCATCCAAGTAAAGCGACTTTAATTTGTGACTGACCCTTGGTGAAGATTGATCAAACAATAAAGATTAGGTCAGCAATGAGCACGGGACTTACATTCAAGGATTGTGCAAGTAGCAGTGTGTTGCGCAACGCTTTATTTCCTTGTATTTGGTTATAAATACATAGTGGAAACCTTCATTGGATTAAAGAGTTTTGCTGCAAAATCTTACATTTCTTTAAAAATTCTAAAATTGTTAAAACTTAAAAGTCTATTAAACTCCCCTTCTAGGTTCATCAAATCCATGCTAGTACAAAATAAATTCTGATATATCATTAATATAAGTAGTTTCTGTAGTTACTTTGTTACCATTTAATATGCGATTCCAAATGAAAAGACAAGTAGACAACACACTAGTCCATCACTTGTTTCCACTTCTCGCATTCATACTTTATTTATAAGATTCAAATTTAAAAACATAATGTAAATCATTCTAAACGTGGGTAACAATTTAATACTTGAAAGACCATGTTAACTTGGCCAACGGGAGTAACAATTTGAAAGTCGAGAACCACAGGTGATTAATTTGAAAGTTTAGGACTAAACGTGACAAAACAACTATACTCAAGGACCACATATGGTATTAACTCTTCAAAAAAAAAATACCAATAAGTTAAATGTAATAGATCATATAACTAAAAAGTGTACACAATTAGATATCTCAATAAGGAAAAACTTACATAATAAACAATTGAATGTATGAGATATATATCGCCGGGTGCATCTCCTCCTTGAATATATAAAACTAATATCTCATTTTGTCTGTAATCCCATATGAACCAAAACACTCTCCTCTACATGACTTGCAATTTCATATGCTTTCATGCAATCATTGCTCAAACTATTTCGATAACATTTAACATTTAGGCAATGGAGACTGTTCCACAATGGCTTCATGTGTTGCTTAACACTTTACCCTAGTTCAATTTAAACTAAAGTTAAATATATTTCTGAAGTATATATATGAACAGATAAATAAATAAATAATATATATATATTACATACCTCATTTGGACTTAACAATTGTATTGACTTCTTTGGCCAAGCAATATATTGATCAAGTGCTCCACCTATATTTGATGCCTCCTCAGTGGGGAACGGTACCTTTGTTTGTGGTTCAAAGGCAATCTCTATGACTACTTTTACTTGATCATGTGGTAATGGTATGCCATGAAGTGTATGGCCCATGCCAAAAACCTTGCCCACTGCCACCTTACGTCGAATAGGATTCTCCAAGTACAAAAGACATCGTACTCCTACCTATAGTTATTCATTATAAACAAGTTAGATAAACTAAATTTTATAATAATGTTACCAAAAGAAAACAAAAGGATAAATAAATAATAACTAACACATACCATTGGTATATTCTCAAGAGGGTCTGGGGAACTAGCGTTATCACTATTAAGGTCTGGTGCAGGCTCCTGGACACATAAATTGTTCTTTTGGTCTAAGTATGCAGAAAGTTTTCGAAACGATGCAGTAGCTTCAGCCATTGCATTTTCCAAAAATTGTTTACACACTGCAGTATTTTCAGCTATTCCTTTGGATATGGCAGCAGAGATCATGTCTTTAAGAGCTTCCGCTTCCACGGATGTATATCCTTCACAAGGAGGTGTAGACCCAAAGGAGTCACTTATTCCAACTTCTCTTCCCACACCCCTAACACAAGTCGAGTGCTCTTTCTTTTCAAGTGCTAGTATATCCATCCTTCCAGATTCAATGAATTCTCCGGGAGTACATTGTTGCTCAAAAGAATCCTATTACATTAAAAAATAAATAAATTAAATAATATATATTAACTTTTCAATCAATAAAACATATCATTAATAATATGAATATATACTTACAATTTTTTTTGCAATCAATTTACTCTCTTCTGTGATAAATGCCTTTGTTTTATCCACTCTAGCTCTCTTCCACATCCCGTGCCTGCATGGGGGAGATGGAGGATTAACTACAATCAATGGGTCAGACATAGAAACTTCTCGTCTTTCCTTTAGCTTCTCATCCATCATATTCACATCCAATTTATAATATCCTCCACGAGACAATCGATGCTCGTACACATGATTTGATTGTGTCAAATGAGCTTGTTTCCTTACCGTCTATACAAATAAACATAATAGTTAATAGTCATAGATAATGAATAAAAATAATAAACATAGCAATTTGTACACATTCATCTTATCACCTGAAACTTCGAATCTTTGTGAGCTGCAACAAATTCATCCCATGTATCTTGATCAATGTAACTACACTCGTCACATGGATTCTTATTTTGTTTATCACCATATATAAATCTAGAACTCAATGATGCCTTAAAGTCCCTCCATCGAACTCCAGCATAACTCAACCACCGTTTCCTCATGGCAGGTGTGTTGGGAATATCGAATACAGTCTAAAAATATGCAAACACAAATATCAGTAAATAAGTAAATTTTTATAAAAATATATTAAAAATAGTTTATAAGTAAATAAATGTACCAAAAGATCATGCCAAATCATCTCCAATGTTTGTGGTGGAACTTCTTTCCAACTCCTAAACAATATACTCACTTTGCTACAAGCTAAATGACAAATATAAGACAAAAAATAATTTCTTTGAGCCCCAATTGGGTTGTTGCCCTTAAACTCAACAACCTCCTTGCCTTTTTCAGAAGAATGAGTTAAGATCCACTTCTTCATCGAGGTGACATCTCTCGTTTTACCTCTATCATTCTTATTATCCTCAGTATCATTAGTAGCGGTATGAAAAGAAAAATCACTTGGAGGATCCATGAACCTGTTTCAAAAATAACAAAATATAAGCATTCTATATGATAACATAAAATATAAAAACCAAGACATGCATTCAAAGTCTATAGAATTAAAAGTAATATATGGTTTAGATTGAAAAGCTTTGCTAACATGTGAAGGAGATCAGAACTGACAATAATTGCATTACACAAATAAGATATTGGGAAAATTGTAATTTATGTCCCTCAGGTATAGGCCAATTATAAATGTCACTCCTAAATTCTACGTGATATAAAATATAAATGTTGCCCCTGAATTGTCAAAATGTGGTCATATATTGCCCTTACTAAGGGGCATAAATTACAATATATGGTAATATATAGTCACATTTTGACAATTCATATGCAACATTTACACCACTTAATTGAGTGGTGACATTTATAATTGGTCTATACCTAAGGGGCATAAATTACAATTTTCACTAAGATATTTATAGTACAAGAGTGAAGCTAACAACAAACTAGAAACTCAAGCAAACAAACAGCAAAATACATAGTAGTTACAAGAGATTATACATAGCCATTACTACACTATGTGTTATCAGCTTAGACATTATTCTATTCAACTGAGCAGCAACACCAAAATCACCTACTCACATTGTGGATCAATTATTACATATTTCATGGTTTGGCATGAAATCGCATAATAGTATTTTTTTTGGTAAGTGACTTTTGGGAAGATAAGCTAATCACAAATTAAATTGGAACACCGACAAAGTAATGAAATTAAGGATTCGTACAAAGTTCTACAAAAAACAATTGGACAGAAGCAATAGTTCCAAGACTATTTGGATTTTAGGAGACACACTAAAAGCATAAAGGCACTCACCTAACTTAACCTCACCTTGACGGCTTGACCAGACAGCAAACTGTTTCCGCCTTTAATGTCTATATGAATCTTAAATATTGAATGCAAATAGGATAACCCCTGCATTGAACATAAAACAACTCAGGAAACCCAGGATACAACAAACCGTTTAAGCTTCAATCATGAAAGAGTTCCATTTTGTTTTGACACTACAAGTTGAAAAGATTTCTAACAAATTTTGTATTCCAAGTTTACAGAATAAATTAAGCTTCAACTAGCAAAGTTGGAAGTTCCAATGATAATGACATGTCTTCATATGGCTTATTTACTTCCTCTTCCTAAATGTTTCTCCACATATTTTCCTAGACAAGACTACCCAAGATTTTTCGATTCAAGGAGAAGGCATCGGAAGAAAGAATGACTTATGATACTCGATGCATTTTTATTAATTTTTATTTTAATTAATTAATTAATTAATTATTATTCGTTTTGATTCATAGTCCTATTTACTATCAAACAAAGTGACTCATTCTACTTAAACTCATTACAATTACCAAGTATTTAATTCCCATTATCATTTCGATTCCAATGTTTGAACCAAACAAACCCTTAGTGTATAGTTAAAAGCCTCTTAGGGTTCATCCCTACGGTTGTAGAGATTTAAAGCATTACTTGGCTTCATGTAAGTGTGGGACTGATGTACAATCCAGAGATACAATGGCTCACATGTCCAACTTGGTTTTTAGTTTTTAGTTTTTACACACTAATGTTCAATTCAAGCTTACCTTCAAGCCTCTCTGCAAATGTGAAATGTATGCAATTTGGTACTCCTCAAGTGGCTAGTAAGTGACATTCATTAAATCTGCTACATTTCCACCCCAACAATATCCCATCACAATCTGTCAGCACATAAAATAAAAATGTTACTAAATCTAATTCAAACCAAAATGCATAATTTTGGTTGTGATCATAATACTATGATAAAATAAATATTTTATATTTGAGTAAGCCGGTTGAAGAATATGTTAAGATTTTAGGTAAATGCCCTAGTTCACACCCAAAGGTACTCTTCTCCAGTTCTCCTTGGTAGCTCCCAAGGTAATGAACAACATTTGGATGACTAAACTGCTGCAACATCTCAATTTCACCACGAATTTCTTCATAGCCTTCCTCATTAATGCATTTAATATTTCAAAAATATATATACTATAATCAATTAAAGTATCAATTGTGCTTCCAATTGCATAAATCCAGTTTGAATCAGGCTATTAAGATAAGAGTGATAAGCAATAAATCAAATTTATGGAGCAATTCGTACTTTGTAGATTGATCCTCCTTTACTGACTCTCTGGAATCGAGCTCGACGAGACCTAACTCCCTTGAGGTCTTAATTCCTCCTCCGGCAACCCAATTACTTCCGCTTTTCTGTGCCTCCCAATCTCCCCACAGCCTACATTGTCGCCACAGCTCTACTCATAACTCATAGTCGATGACCCACTGGTTCCGCCGCTTCAACTTTTTCTCGTCCTCACCACTGCGGCACTGCCCCCAATCAAACATTCAAACTCCCTCTTTTAATTTAAGTTGAGAGTTAATGCCATCTACGTTTGTCGCCACAGCTCTACTCGTAACTCATAGTGATTTTGCCACGTTTAGTCCTAAACTTTCAAATTGATCATATATAATTTTTCGACTTTTAAATTTAATAATTCATGGTCCAAATTAACTACTCATGATCCTTCAATTATTAAATTTTAACCAACCATAATCCTTTCAAGAGGACCACGACTGGTTAAATTTCGAAATTTGAAGGACCATGAGTAGTTAACTTGGACCAAGAATGGTTAAATTTGAAAGTCGAAGGATCAAAGATGGTCAATTTGAAAGTTTAGGACTAAACGTGACAAAACCACTATACTCGGAGGACCTCAGATGGTATTAACTTTAAGTTAAATACTCAATACTCAATTTAGTGCTATTTAATCTTTCTCGATTTAATTTTAATAAATAATATTTTGTGTTTAATTATATCCTCAACTTTGATAGTTTTATCCAATTGAGCCATCACTATTAGACTGAGTAAATAAAAAAAATCATTATAGTCGATGACTAAATTGGATAAAATCATTATAATCGAATACTAACTTGGACAAAAATTACTGTAACCGATGACTAAATTTAGTATCAATAGATGTGAAATTACCAAGATATTTTAATAGATGATCCAATTGATTATCAAAATTGATGACCTAATTAAGCACGAAAAATCATTTAAGACTAAATTATAAATTAAAAAAAAAACATTAGAATCGATGACTAAAATGAATATTACTCTTAGTTATATGTTTTTCTTTTTTCTAATTATTTTAATTTCGTTTTTCAAATTCAATCTCTACACAAAAACAAAATTTAATACACATATATTTAAATAAATATATTACTAAATAAATTATATTTGCCAACTATTAAGTGTTTCAAAAGCAAATGATAAGGGTCAAATAGGTCAAAGTGCAATTAGCTTCCTAAACTAAGAAAATCTCCAACTAGACACACTTCATCCCATCGTTATATCGTGCACCCGGACGAACAATGCATTGTGCACCCCGCCATTCCAAAACGATATCGTTTTGTTAAATTGTGTGGGAAATTGACGCGACGGAGTTTATGTGTATTCTGTTATACAATTATGTACATTTCGAAACATGAGATTGTTTTTTAAGAGTTAAGAGTTTATATGTACTATGTTAAGAGTTTATGTGTACTATGTTAAAAGTTTATGTGTATTATGTTAAGAGCTTATGTGTATTATGTTAAAAGTTTGTGTGTATTATGTATTATGTTAGATTATGTGTATTATCCTTTTAAAAAGGTGTATGTGTATTCTGTTATACAATTATGTACATTCTATTATACGATTATGTACATTCGAAACATGGAAATTTTTTTTTTAAAGAAAATAACACCAGACACGAAAAACGGGATTTCCAAAAAAAAACAAAAATTATATCGTAATCCCTCTGCAATTCGAATCTCGCCAAGAAATAGTCATGCTCTAAATCGATGAGTTCAAGATTACCTTCTGGTTTCCAAAGCGAACGGAGGCGGTGGATTAAGTAGTTGTATCCGACTGATTTTCCCCATAGTTGGATGATGAGCGTTCTGCGCCACGGTCTTCTAATTCTAATCTTCTCCTCCTTTGATAGCCTAATTTTAGGGCATTCTGGGTCGTCTTGCTCATCGGAGCCCTCATCATCGCTTGTATCTTCATCAGCTCCTTCAAGGTCGTCCTTCTTATACGTCATGAATTTCCGTAGACTGAGCTTGTAGCTTGCTGGTAGGGGTGGGTTCAAGAACTCCGGATGCTTACTCCCACCTGGAGAATCCATCGCATCTGGGCCTGATTCAACGTTGAAGTTCGTAGTTATCGGAACTGGAGCCTCCGGAGTGATGAATATGGAAGAAAATATCACGTATCATATTTGGAGATCACATGAGCTGTTAATATTCTGTTTTCCTTGTATATAGCCTGTGGTTTACCTTTTATGTAGCTTACCTTAAATATTTCTTCTTGTATTTATTCTGCAATTGTCAGTAATGAACGACAACCTTTTCCCTTCCTTTTCTTCTCACCTTACGGCTTGTAGTTTTCAAACAATTACGCCATTTTCATCATGGTATCAGAGCTAGGTAACGACAAGGCGAAAGAGGTTACGCCAAAGACATCAGATGGAGGTGGCGAAGAATCAGAAAAGGTCCAACATGGTAAGGCAACATCAAATGCATTAGAAGTTTAGCCTGGCTGCATAGATGTGATGTCGCCTTATTTTTTACACGCTTCAGATGCTCCCGGACACATCCATGTCACCGAACTCTTCCGTGATGGCAACTACGGGGAGTGGGTAAACGATATGCGTGATGCGTTGTTCGCTAAAAACAAGATGGGATTCGTTGATGGATCCATACCTATGCCGACACCCGATTCATCATATTTACAACAATGGATGCGTTGTAATGCTATGGTGAAAGGTTGGCTAAAAAATGCTATGGACAGGGACATGAGGAATAGCGTGAGATATGCTAATACTGCTAGGGATATTTGGGTCGATTTGGAAGAAAGATTTGGAAAGGGAAGTGCACCGAGAGCCTTTGAGATAAGGCGAGCAGTTGTACTCCTGCGACAAGAAAAAGGCTCCAGTTTCAACATATTACACAAAACTTAAGGGGCTTTGGGATGAGATGATGGCCATCTCACCACTACCTAAGTGTATCTGTAGGGGATGCACATGCAATATATCAAAGCAATTGGTTGATATGAAAGAGAAGGAACAATTATACGATTTCCTCATGGGATTAGATGATGAATTTGCTGCTGTGAAATCACAAATCCTCAGTTCAAAGCCAACACTCAGCCTTGGTCGGGCATATCATATGACATCTGAAGATGAGCAACAAAGAAAAATCTCATCCACTCATAAACCAATAGTTGAAGCTGCAGCATTTCAGGCACAAAGAGGTTCCAGTGAAAAAGATGGAAAAGGACGAAGAAGGGACAAACCTATCTGTGGGCATTGCCAAAAGATAGGACATACAGAGGACCAATGCTTTGAGATCATCGGATACCCTGCACACTGGCGGAAGAGCCCTCGTGACAAGAGAGGAGGGCAATATACAGAGCACAAAGCAGCACCAAAGGCAGCCCACGTTGATACAGATGTCAATCCCTTGCGAAATCTTACACAAGCTCAGCTGGCAAAGCTTTTTCAATTCCTAAACACTGACGAAGACAAATTCAAGCATGGAGGGGCATCATCCAACCCGACTGTCAACATGGCGGGTAAGATAGATAATCGGAATTGGTGGGTGATAGACTCCGGAGCTACAGACCACATAGTCTGTGATGGGGATCTATTGAATAAAGTGGATGTTGAACATGGTGATTTTCCTGTCACCATACCAAATGGAGACAAGGTGGCGGTTAAAAGTATAGGAAGTACTAAACTTCCCAATGGGGTGCAAATAAATCATGTCTTGAGCATACCAGATTTTAAATGCAATTTAGCTTCTGTTGGTAGGCTGACAAAGGATTGCAATTGTACACTGACTTTTTTCTCGGATTTCTGTATAATGCAGGACTTACCCTCGAGGAAACTGATTGGAGTGGGTAGGATGCGCGATGGTCTTTACTACCTAGAACCAACATCTCAAGAGGGTGTGGCAATGTCAGTTAAGAGAAAGGACGATCCGAATATCTGACATAAGAGACTTGGTCATGCTTCTACTACAAAAATTCAAAAAATACAATCAGATTTTGTGGCTTCTTCTGAGAATGGTTTTTTCTGTGATTCATGCATGCGTGCTAAACAAACTCGATTGCCTTTTCCTGTTAGTAGTATTAAAACTAAATCATGCTTTGATCTTATACATTGCGACATTTGGGGTGGTTACAAAACACCTTCTTTTTCTGGTGCTCACTATTTCCTTACTATTGTGGATGATTTTAGTAGGGGTGTATGGGTATATCTGATGAAGCATAAGTCTGAAGTTAGCCACCACCTTGTTGCATTTTGCAACATGATTCGTACCCAATTTGGAAAAAGAGTTAAGCAAATTCGGGCTGATAATGGCATGGAGTTTAAATCAAATTACATGCTAGAGTATTATAAACAGCATGGCATTATTTTGCAGAGATCATGTGTAGACACCCCACAACAGAATGGGGTAGTTGAGAGAAAGCATAGGCATATCCTAGAAATGGCACGAGCATTGCGATTTCAAGCAAATTTGTCGATTGAATTTTGGGGGGAATGCATTTTAACTGTTGTACATATCATTAACAGACTACCTTCTAAGGCCATCAAGGAAAAAACACCTTATGAGATTTTGATGGAAAAAAAGCCAGACTACAATCACTTGCGGGTATTTGGGTGCTTGACTTATGTATACAACAAAAAGGGAGACAAGTTCGATGAAAGAGGGAAGCCATGCATATTTGTTGGGTACCCAAGTGGACAAAAGGGATATCGAGTGTATGATCCTGAAGATGGAAACTTTTACACCACCAGAGACTTAACATTTTTTGAAAATAAACTTCCCTTCAGGAACAATGTTCAAGACTTGGAGCCAAAGATTGAACGACCATGTTCACTGCCCATAAATGATGAGTGTGACGATATCCTTAGGATGGTACAAACCGAAGAAACAACAAATACAAACAGTGTAGAACATAGCCAGCCTGAAGCAGAACAGAGTTGTACTATACCGACAGAGATAATTGAGTTGACAGATGTAGATGTTGTTGAGAATCATGAACCACCAGAGCCTGTTAATGACGTGCAGCAGCGTAGAAGTCTACGTAATAGACATGTACCAAAATATTTGGAGAATTATGAGACGACATTGCCACCCTCTTTAGCAGTAACGCCATCTACCCCTCCTTCGGCATCCTCAACGGTACATCCCATGTCTCATTATGTCTCTTATGATAATTTCTCTTGTTCTCACAAAGCTTTTTTAACGGCCATCACTAACCATGATGAGCCAAGAACATTCAAGCAAGCAGTGAAACATAAACAGT